TATATACACACACACACACACACACACACACACACACACACACGTGTATATATAGAAAGCATTTTAGAATGATTTGGGAAGAATCATATGATACTGGACACTGGAGTATTTTAAATTGTAATACTGTAATAATTCACACCGTTTTTATTAGGGTATTTTTGATCAAATTAATGCAGCATGGTGAGCTAAGCGACTTACTGACTCCAAACTTTTGAACAGTAGTGCACTTATTTAATTTATTTATTTACTTATTTATTTTTATTATGTATATACACACACACACACACTGTATATACTGTATATAATATGATAAATTATTTTGATTTAAGGAGCAGTTCATCCAAAAATTAATAATACTTAGTTTTACTCCTCCGTCATTCCAAACCTGTTTGGTTGTTAGTTATGTCAGTGAAACACACTTGGAATTTTTTTTTTTTTTTAAATGGTCATTTTCTGACTGTGCCTTTTGCATCTGCCTTAGGAGAATGCATGTTTAATAAAACAATTTAGTTCATAAGGTCCGGAAATGTACCATCTATTGTTGAAATGAAATGAAAGGAGGTCTGAATAGGTCACCAGTCTAGCAGATATTTTTTTTCCGTGCATGTAATTCTAATCAACAATCATTATTGAACAATAATTAACCGAATATTCAGTAAATTGACACTGTGTTTCTCATAATTGCTTTGTGTAATATATGTTTTGAAAATTGCCAATTTGAGTAGTATAGTCTTGTTTATTTTCACAAATCTTTATAGAGGAGTTTTAGAGAGTAACTAAGTATTTTATTTCCACAGTCTGTCAGAATTGCCTTAGTAACTTTATGGTTATTAGCACAACCTTGATTTACTGAGACAGACTGAGGGACCATTCACACACATGTTTTTCCATTCCACTGTGCTACTTTTTCATTGTTGGAAATATGCATTAGATGGACAGCTTTGACCGCTGCTCTCACTGGTAGTACTTATTTTTACTCATCCTCATGTCATTCCAAACCTGTTTGTTTGTTAATTATGTCAGTAAAACACATACAGAGGACTTTTGAAGAATCTTTATGAAGCTCTATTCCTTACAAATGACAGTTCATATTGACTATGTATGTGTGAAAAATTACATAAATGTATGTTTAAGTAAAACTATAAATAAATATGTGTATACATTTAAATAAATATTCACTGTCATTCAGTTAAGAGGAAAAATTCCAGTATGTACCATAGCAACATAAATTTCTCCCCTTTCTCATATGGCTTCAGAAGAAAGTTCAGAAGAAAGTAGTTCATTTTGCCAATTTTGTTTAGTTTTTTTGAAAGACATGGTCACTATTGAAATTAAAGATCTACGTGAACATTCTTTAAAGTAGAAGTCAAATAAATTATTTTCAGTAGAAATAACAGCAAATCAGTTTAGAACAACATGCGGGTAAGTAAGTAACGACAGGACTGGGATACGCCAATTTCTTCCAGTTATCATCCTGTGCTTCTGAATCAGTCACGTCACACAATACTTCAGTGTCTTTGTGAGTGTCTCGATCACTGCCAGTTTCTGTGTATGTGTGTGTCTCAAGTCTTCTAAATAGGGCACTTTAGAGTGAACCACTTTTAAATGGACATGGATTTGTAAACACCATTAAACAAAGAGATTGGTATTAAATACAGACAGTTAGCTGTGTAAATGTGTGCCCTGGAAAATATAGTAAAGAAAACGTGTATCACTAATACAGATCTACAACTTTTCGAGAAAGCCGTGAAAGGTCAGAAAAGACAAGCTGCTTAGTGGATAACAGATTTGTGGTTTGTTAACCATAGCACAAACACACACACATTCATACATGTGCATGTTCACAAACACATAAATTGCGCTCAGCATTGACTTGGCATGATGTGTGCTTTCCAAGAAACGCAAGGACTCCCATTTCCATTCCATGAAGCTTGTCAGTCATGACTCAGTGGCAGCATGGGCTTTATTGCCAGATTTACTACCTCTGACCTAACCTCATGTGTCATTTTGATAATCTCAGCGTTCTAAAAACGGGACGCTAAGGTTAATAGAAGTTAAACTTTTAAAAAGGACGACTTGCAAAACTTGCATTTTTTCCTTCATTCCACATCTCATTTTTTTTTTCCAAAGTAAAAATGCTTTTTTTGTGTGAATGGCCCCGACTCTTTTTACCACTTAATGCTGTGTTTTGTATTCATATTTATTAAAACTCCATATTGCAGATCATTGTCCTTGTATATGCACATTTAGTAAGGTTTATTTCTTTGCTTACGTTACCAGAAATGAAAAATAAATAGAGGACTAGCAGAGGATTTGTGGGTAAAGACTTGGGTGAGTTGGTTGTTTGTGCTTACTCCGACTTACTGAGATGTCTGTGTAAGTATGAGTCAAGGCTTATAGCCCCTCAGCACATGGACACACACACAGACACGCACGCACACACACACACACACACACACACACACACACTCACTCACACTCACACTCACACGTACACACTCTCACACATACACACTCACACTATGCTGTGACATCAAAGTGGAAATTTAATATTCATCAGCATATGCTTTTGGAGGGTTTATTTCTTTAGTGCGAGTTAGGTTGTATCTCCTGATCAAGAGAAGAACATTTTTGCAAACTCTTGACTTGGCCAATGCAGCATTTTAAGATTCTGCTAACCCTTCGGATATTTCTCTCTTCCCCCAGGACTTTGATGATTTCATCTTTGCTTTTTTTGCTGTGGAGATGGTAATCAAGATGGTTGCACTGGGCATCTTTGGGAAAAAGTGTTACCTTGGAGACACCTGGAATCGGCTAGACTTCTTCATTGTATTGGCTGGGTGAGTCCTGAAATGACTTAACTGAAACTTCAAAAGTTTGGGGACAAAGTGTTTTTTTTTTTTCAAGGAATTGTTACTTTTATTCAACAAGGATGTATTAAATTGATAAAAAGTGAGATTTTTATATATTGTTTTTAGACTTTTATATTTTACAAAAGATTTATTTAAAATAAATGCTGTTCTTTTGATC